CACGTACGTACACCTGGTTAGCACTGGCTTAACCATATCGGTGTCCTGTAAACACCGCAAGGTCTTCATGCAGTGTCTATATCTTATATGAGAATCCACTTTACTGTAATGATTCGACTCAATTTTAAGCAGGATATTACAACTTCTTTAGGCGTTTCATACTGTCAAGCAGAATATAAGACGCATGTAAAATGAAGCCATCAATTAAGACGTACGTGTGCTGCCTGTTCTGTTTCAGCAGCCGAGAGAGAAGGGCTGAAGCTTCATTTTTATCCCTTAACAGTCGATTACATCCCAATGTGTACACAGTGGAGAAAGGGGAACACAAGGTGCCCGAAGAAGCCTTGAGGGTGAGTAATTCTCAACGTTCATGCAATGAAGCACTGTGTAAGCAACGAGAGTCCATGTGGGGGCACAAGCAAAGTGTGTTTACTCAAATAAGGCAGCCACACCAGCCGGCCTGTGGCAGTCTCTCCAAGTACTGGATGTGTTTAGTGATATCACAGCCATGATTGTCATCTATAAAACTGTCCTATTTTCTCAAACATAGAACGGTTTGATAAACAAAATATATCTACGAATAGGGTTTACCCTTTCTGGAAATTAAACAGGTGTTAAAATCTTCAAACACCAAGAAGTAGATACCTTTTGCATGGCATGTTATATTGCCAGAAAAGGGTATATATTTTTTGATAATTTTGGTACTGGCCAAAAGGTTCCATAGATATAGAACGTTTTGCATGATAGCTTTCAAAAATGTTCACAGTGCATTAATACTTTAGTTTAAGGGTTGTGCAAAGTAACATTGTTTTACACATTTTGGAGAACATTTGCTATAGCATGTACACTCTTTGCTGCTGCGATAACAAACTTGCGTGCAGTTACAATTTGGATTTATGAAGTATCCAAACGCATCCATAGTTCAAGATGCTGTACGAATGGAGGAGTGTGCAAATTGAGAGAAAAGATGAATACATTTTTTGGAGAGAAAGTCATGAGGGGTGGAATACTACAGGGGGGAGTAGATAAATGAGATGACATTGCGGTAAAAGTGCGAATGAGGACCCTTCATTGAGGGAGAAAGTCACAGACAGGAGGGGTTGGTGGAATGTCTTGAGCCTGGACTTGGAGGGAGTCGTGAGTGCCGATAGCGAGTGGGAAGACATTCCCATGAGGGAAGATGTGTAGAAGGAGTGACCTCCCATTATTTGAAAGCAAAAGTTTATTCTGCTTGTTTATTTGGGACATTAACTAGAGGCTTTGACAGAAGGCCTTTGTTGTTCGAACAGAGAACACGTAAAGGGGAGGAGCTCAAGATGAGGTGGGGGAGAGGTAGGTGGGAGACATGTCCGTAGACGATGTTTAAGACGGTGAGGCTGATCTTTTAGGATAATAATATTGGGAGCAATGGGAGGCAGTGAAGGGATCTGAATATTCAGGTAATATCTAGATCATTGCCGCAGGGAAAACATCTGTGGTGGGATAATGTATTTGGTGTGCATATTTACAAACACTGTAATCGCCATTATTTGTTAAAATGTTTTCTCGAGGTCTCCTAAACAAACACTCAAAGTGTGTAACGTTTGACTGTGGCCTTGTAAAGATAATATTTATACCTGCGTGAGGCTCTTGCTACTTTTGGCAGGGATATATGGGATCGCTGAGGCTGTGGCTTTGGAATGTGCATGGACCCACCCGTTGTTATGGTTTTGAAAGTTTTGGAATGTTTGTGTTTCTAACTGCTTTTCCATAAGCATAATTTATACCGTATTCTCCAGATTACACTACACTTTGGAAAGCAAGATCCATCCCAAACAAGTGCCCGGTGTGAATAAAGTTATTTAAACCCAGTCACACACAGGACCGCAAAGTGGAATACTTTTAACACCGTCACTGACGCAAGTGTGCGCGCATGTGTGACCACCAGCACGAGGGGTACAGCAGCACGATGCAGAGGCTGCAGGAGGAGCGTGGGGCCACCGCGTTGGAAGCGGCCACCTCGGATCAGGCCGCGCAGGATGACGGGCAGGCGGCGGCGGGCTCCTCGCAGGCCCCCGATCACGAGACGGCGGTCGACGGCGGCAGCAGCAGCAGCAAGGGCCCTCACGGTGAGCCGTGTGGGAGGACGTCGCCACGTGGGCGCGAGGACTTTGCCTTGCGTTTACCGCTGTCGCCACTTACCTCTGCAGTCCGTGAGACCTAAGTGCGAGGTATTTTTCGGGACTTCATATGTATGCATGTATCTTGAACTTCTATCGCACCGTACGTAGCCAACCGTGGTAATTGGGAGGTGCGGGGGAAGGATAAACTAAGCACAAATGGAAGTTCTAAGGAAATTAGTTTTCAGTCTAGATTTAAAAGTGCATATAGCTCCAGTGGCTTCCTAATATAGGAAGGATGAGCGTTATAGACGGCCTCAGAAGTGGATGTGAAAGAGCGCGATGCAGTGACCGTCACTGAATAGGGCAGATGGCGGACAGCTGCTGCAATTTCTCCTTTCACAGAACAATTGGTAGATAAGAGCAGTGGTTGGTGACCAACTCTTTTATAGCATATGCCATTGTACTGCAAATGGATAAACTGCCGAACAAGAAAGATGACCTTTATTAAATTACGAAGTGATCATATAGCTTACCATATGTACATGTAATAAATACTACTGGTTGAGTGTGTGTCTTTTAAGATGGTGCAGCTGAAACTCTGCTTCAAGCTCCTAAACAGTAAATGCTGTGTACAGATAACCTTTATGTCCAACTAAGAGCCGTCCGAGGTCACGTCTCCTGTTCAATGGACGTCTTAGTTTAAATAAGCACAGCAAAACGGATGCAATAGGAGTTCCTCATTAGTTAGTGTAATTGCTTGTTAAAGCATGGCTGGAGTTGAAATTGTGCTGGTGGCTTTTAAGATGTGTAATGGCGATGTCCCCATCTGTGTTATTGCCCTGCTTGTGTGTGCGCGTTCAATACGCTCGTGATGAAGACATTCCCAGAATGCATTATATTCCCAGAAGGCACTATATTCCCATAATGCAGTATATTCTCAGAAGTACTATAAAGATTAACCTTTTTTGAGACTCTTGTCCAGGCTGTAACTCAAAACCTGTGTACTGACTTTGACCATTTTAATTGTTGTCTGGCAACTATAGCTCACTTGTAGTTTGCCTGGTCACAATCCATTAAGATTGACAAAACATTTCTTACAGGGAGGGTGTTACTGTAGCATTATGGTTTAAACTTAACTGCTCCTAAATAAATAAATAACAATAAATGCTTTTTTTAATACAAATATATGTCCATATTTGACCAAATTTCAAACGTGTGTTGCTTGAGATATCTGGGCAACGATTAAAGATGTTGAGCAATTACAAAACTTTGGCCTAGAGCACCTTTTCGTGAAAACATGTGAACCCAGGAAGTGGTTAGGGAATCAGAAACTCGAAAAACATGACTGGAAATGCAATTCATTGGGACGGATGTAATAATGAGGGAAGGACGAGGGCTCTGTGCCTCCGTTAAGCACACGGGAAAGGAGGGGAGATTATGCTAATCTGCCTAATCATTTGGCCAAGGGGAACGGCCGTTTTCAAGGTGATAATGAGCCCGGGTGTCCTGGAAAAATGCCACAATCGTTTCTGCACGCCTGAATGCTTATTTGGAAATGTATTCACAGTTTCCCTATTTACTATTTTCACACCACAGTTATATTCAGTTTAATAAATATTTTTTTCATCATGGGGACTGCACACCGGTTGCCAAGGGAATGCTGCGATGGCATATGTACATATTTATGGTGAACTTTCGCACCGTACATAGGCAACCATGCTTATTTGTGGGTCTCTGGGTGTCTATGGATCTCTGGGTCTCTTTGGGTCTCTGGATCTGGGTGTCTGTGGGTGTCTGTGGGTCTCTATGTATGTAAGTTGAACTTATTTCGCACCGTACGTAGGCGACCGTGCTAATCTGTGGGTCTCTGTAGATCTCTGTGGGTCTATGGGTGTCTGTGGGGCTCTGGGTGTCTGTGGGTCTCTGTGTATGTATGTATTTTGAACTTAAGCACCGTACGTAGCCGACCGTGCTGGGGGAAGGACAACAAACTCAACACAAAAAGCAGTTCTAAAGAAATTCGTTTTTATTTTTTATTCAAAAGTGCATAGCTCCAGTCGCTTCCTAATATCGGAAGGAAGAGCGTTCCAGACGCCCGCTGAAGCGCATCTGAAAGTGCCGCGCGATGCGGTGACCGTCTTTGTTCGATCGTTCGACAAAAGCCTTTGCTGCTGCTGCGAGGATAAAAAGGCGCGCATTGGGCTTGCAATATGGTCGATGCTTAATTGATCCTCTGGCACAGCATTTGTAGCAAATATGGCAAGTTTCATAATCCCCCTGCCTCTGTTCACCCAGCAGCATAAATAGCGACACCACCGTTAGTCGTTCGGCAGACCAGGTGTGGTGGGGTCAAGTTTGGGTACTCTATGATCTTCCAAAATGTGTGGCCAGTGTGGAAGAGCAGGCTAAAAATACATTCTCTGGAGCTCCCCTTGGTAAGAACCCATTCCACCAGCAGTGGTGCGATGCTCCATTCACTGGGAATGTTAAAAACAGAAAATTCCTCACTTTGTGTCTTAGCTTTTAAGGTACAAATGAGATGTAAATTGTATTTGTAAAAACATATTCTAAATTTAATGACGATGAATATAAACAATACTTTATGAGATTCGAAGCTTTCGTGACTGCAGGAATTACTCGTTGGTTCTTTCGGTAAAGTCACGTAGAAAGTAAATAATTGAATCATTAATAGAATACAACGTTTCGATTGCAACACAATAAACCATCATCAGGTACGAATGAATGAGAAAAACAAACATGTTTAGCAATTTTGATTTAAAGCTTTCGTGACTGCAGTGATTCATGTTCTTGGTTCTTTCGAAAAAGTCGCGTAGAAGGGAAACAATAAAATAATAAAAATATAAAACAATAAAATGCTCGCGACGTTTCGACTGCAACACAAGCAATCATCATCAGGTGACTTTACCGAAAGAACCAAGAATATGTTTAGCAGTCTTTGGAAGAACGTAATCAGCCAGATGGGGTGTTGACTTGTGTTTGCTGACTCATTCATTCGTACCTGATGATGGTTGCTTGTGTTGCAATCTAAACGTCGTATTCTATTATTATTTAATTTATTTTCTTTCTATGTGATTTTACCGAAAGAACCAAAGAGTAATACTTTATGAGCTTTTGCAGAACTCAAAAACTGTACGTCTCCGTTTTACAGTACTGAGAAAAAATATCTGACTCAAAACCGTTACGAACACATAGTTTCGTCTCAAATGTCAGTGGCATTGTCTAACAAAGTGGAAGTGGAAATGGAGAACATTAAAGCCCTTAAGCTACTTTCAAAGGCATTAGGATTAAGCTGATTTTTTTTATTTTGAGCAAATGTGTATTTTGATCATGCAGATGTGTACGTGGGAGTGAATGTGAATATTAGGCCAGTGTATGAAGGTCAGTGTGTACAGCGTGCATGTACAGTATGGGTGATTGCGGTGGCGGTTACAGTGATGCGTGGGGCAATGTCACATAGCCCGACTGGCCCAAGTGAGATCCATTAATTCATACACATCATTTTTAATTAGTCTTCCCTCAATCTCAGCTTCTTATAGTCACCATCACCGTCATCATCATCATCCACGTATGTTTGTTCAACTTTTTAGCATCGTCCATAGCCAGCCGTGCTAATAGGAGGTGCGGGTGAAGGACATCCATGTTCTATACACTGCTGGATGAGTGCCTCTCCATGCCGATTCCATCTCTCATGGTTCTGCGATGCAACAATCACAAGCCCGCTCCTGCACCTGAGCCGATCTCATTGCTCCTTCTCCACTGTGGTTTGTACGCACTCTTATCCATCAGTCACCATCCCTTCCAGCGATGCTTATTCCATTGATGTTTTATATAAAATGTATATATATAAAGGCAGTCGGTAGTCGTAGGACAAAATATAAAAGGAAGTTTTTTTTTTAACAGCAGGGAGGTCAGCGGCACAGATGGCAGAGGGGAGTACGTTCCAGACTCTGGGAGCAGCAGAGGAGAATGAGTGACAGAGGAGAATGAGTGAGATTCAAAGTCAAGATGTTCCCCTGTATTTGCTTGCTCACACCACGGCTAGTGGAAGGGCCTCCACTAGAGGGAGCTCTAGAGGGTAAATCTTGGCCTACTCTTCCACGCTGGTCAGACGTCTTGAATGGGGTGGTAGTTACCCCACTGTACCCCATTACATGCGACTTGCCGATCGACTGGCAGAGATGCACCCGTTTGAGACGTTTGCCGTTGTTTCAACTACTGAGCCAGGAGACTTACGATATTCAGAAGCTACTGAAGCTATGCACTTTTAAAGCTAGATGGAAAACTTGTTGATTTGGAACGGTTTTTTATGTTTAGTTTGCTCTTCCCCTGCACCTCCGAGTAGCCCGGCTGGCTACGTACGGTGCGAAAGAAGTTCAACATACTTGCGACATCTCAGTGGACCTCCTCTTGGACGGGTTCCAGTTGTTGGCTTCCACATACAGACAAAACTGGTGACCTCTCAACTGAAGTCCAATGGGCTAACCATTGAAACAAATATAAACTCTACATGATGCTGTACATTCCCTTCTGAAAGTGAATTAATGCAAACCCTATGTCTACACCTGTATAGAAAGCAGACGTTATTGGAATGCAACACTTCTTAACTGAATAAAAAAAACACAAGTTTATGCAAGCAGTGCATGCAGATCTAGAATGAAATAACATCGATGATGCCTGGTTATGAAAACGTGATGCCACTTGTTCAGGATGAGTGCCCCAAACCCTTTTATTGAGGACGAGAAAACTAGGCTGCAGACCACATTTGTATATGAATATTATTATTCGACTACTGTAGTTATAATGTTTTACTTATACCACCCAAGAGGCATCGTTCAACAGCACTGCAGAATGGAATCATGGATCCATCTTGTCTGTAAAAAAAGGTCCGTCTGCTTTAGTGTGAGCACAATACGGTCTTACAACAGCGTAGAGTTTTATAAAACCTTTACATAAAAGAATTGGGTCATTTTAAAACAAATTAAGTTAACACGTTATGCTTAAAGGCATAGTTAAACAACACATTAAAACTCATCTTATCCACAATGTTGTAGACACCAGGATTAATGTATTGCAAACTCCTGTTATTCATTATTTATTTTAAAGAAGATGGTCATGATCTTAGTGTGTATGTGTCATGTGCAATGGGTCACAGCAGGGCAATGTATCATGACAACTCTAGGGAAGTGCTTGCTAAAAAAAAATCTAATAACGGAGAGCTTCCTGCTATTCATTTTGTTTACACCATCTAATTTGCAATCACATCGCATGTTGATGAATATACTTCTGCACTGATAGTGCAGTGCAATATTTTACTCCATCGTTTAGATCACCATGCCATGAATGTGGTATGTGGTGGTTGTGGTTGTGATAGTGGTACTGCAAATGTCCATTGTGGAGTTTATCTTGCACAGTAATATGCGTAGCAGCCTATGACCAAACCACCCAAAATGTGCCGATCTCTGCAGATCTCGGAAGCTAAGCAGGGTGGGTGAACACGATGCATAACCAGGCTGCCAAGGTGGGCAATGTAGAAGTAAAATCCCTTGTTATACTCTACTTCTATGCTCCCACATCTCAGCTGCCTGTATTCACAAACCCCCACTGACCTGGGTGGTGAAGCATAGTCAAATACAGTGACCCTCGTTTCCAGCATGGCATGGGTAGAGCCCTCATCCAGGAGTGGATTTACCAAGGTACGTACAAGCCCACGTGTATCAGCATGCATGGTGCAAATACTGCACCGGAATGCTCGTGGAATATGTGGGGTTGTGTATGTGGGTCAGGGGAGGTCTGTGCGATGTCTACACACACACACACACGGTATGTGTAACTCTCATGCGTCTATACAGGATGTGCTTCCAGCCGCACATGCGAAATGTAGTGTCAAGGCGCCTAGAATTTAGGAGCATTGCATACTGCAAAGAAAGCGAAGCAGTTGCTGCCCACGTGCGCTCGACAAGTTGCAAGCAGCATGCCCTACCTAGCACACGAGCGTCTGGCTTTTGCAGGTAAAAGGGACATTCGCTCGCCTTGGTGACTAAGCTGACAGCTGGGGCGAGTGGAGTGCAGTCACGAAGGGAGGGGGTTTGCTGGAGGGGGTGCGGCTCCACCACGAGAAAGCATTGCTCCCCCCCCACTATATTAACCCCCTCCCAGACCCTACCCTCCCGTTTAATCTCTTTTGCATAATATGTTGTTATATGCCACCGGTGGTGACTTAAGGTCAGCTGCTGCACCTGATGCCCACTCACTGCTTGGCTTGCAGTAATTCACAAATAATTGCCGCAAAACATTATTAACGTGGAAGGGAAAGCCAAACGACGTCGAGAGGGCCTCTCTTGAGCTCTCTCTTGTGTTCCGTGGACAGGAGGCCCTCCAGAGTAGTAGGTAGGCCCTTCTGGTACAGGAGGCCCTCCAGAGCAGTAGGTAGGCCCTTCAGTCCATGGAGGCCCTCCAGAATAGTAGGTAGGCCCTTCAGTACAGGAGGCCCTCCAGAGTAGTAGGTAGGCCCTTCAGTACAGGAGGCCCTCCAGAATAGTAGGTAGGCCCTTCAGTACATGGAGGCCCTCCAGAATAGTAGGTAGGCCCTTCTGGTACAGGAGGCCCTCCAAAGTAGTAAGTAGGCCCTTCAGTACAGGAGGCCCTCCAGAGTAATAGGTTGGCCCTTCAGTACAGGAGGCCCTCCAGAGTAGTAGGTAGGCCCTTCTGGTACAGGAGGCCCTCCAGAGTAGTAGGTAGGCCCTTCTGGTACAGGAGGCCCTCCAGAGTAGTAGGTAGGCCCTTCAGTACAGGAGGCCCTCCAGAGTAGTAAGTAGGCCCTTCAGTACAGGAGGCCCTCCAGAGTAGTAGGTAGGCCCTTCTGGTACAGGAGGCCCTCCAGAATAGTAGGTAGGCCCTTCTGGTACAGGATGCCCTCCAGAGTAGTAGGTAGGCCCTTCAGTACAGGAGGCCCTCCAGAGTAGTAGGTAGGCCCTTCAGTGCAGGAGGCCCTCTAGGGTAGTAAGTAGGCCCTTCTGGTACAGGAGGCCCTCCAGAGCAGTAGGTAGGCCCTTCTGGTACAGGAGGCCTTCCAGAGCAGTAGGTGTAGGCCCTTCTGGTACAGGAGGCCCTCCAGAGCAGTAGGTGTAGGCCCTTCTGGTACAGGAGGCCCTCCAGAGCAGTAGGTGTAGGCCCTTCTGGTACAGGAGGCCCTCCAGAGCAGTAGGTGTAGGCCCTTCTGTCAGCAGTGGTGTGAGCAGCCATCGCAGGGCTGCACCTTTAGCTTTTTAATGGCCTCCATTGCGTTGTTTCTAGTTTTTGCGAGTCTGAAATGTTACACAATCATCTAAATTGCACGAATTGTTAATACCGGAATATGTTCTTCCTGGCACAATTTGTTGCACGTATCGTGAGAATAAGAATCTCGTTAAATTGATGAATCCATGATTTGTTGCATTCCTACTCACAGCACCTATCCGCTGTTAATCCTTCACCTTTAAAGGTTCTGCTGTGTAAACTGTAACGCGCGGTAGCACTGCTTGAAGCGTAACATTCTTCAGCAAAACGCTTGCAAGTGTTTAGAATGTGGCGTGTTAAATTTTCCAGTTGCAAACCTTGCTGCCTGCTGTAGTAGGTACTAGGTATGAGGTGAAATGTGCCAGAAAAAAACATGCAATCTTACTACATTGATTGTGAAAAATGTGCGTGACTGGTTTAGCGTTGGAGCAGTGCCGTTCATTATGGTGTGACGGTGATGGTCGTTGCTCTAATGCTCGTTTATGAAACAGCGGTGGGTATTTGAAAATAGCTACATTCTTTAACGTGCTCGCGTATTCGGGCGCAATGGAATGATGAAAAACAGATGTTAACGGTCGCCTGAGAAATGTGTGCGTGCCCGCTTGTGTGTGATGTGTGTGCGCGTGCTGGTGTTGGCAGGCTGATTTTCAGTGCAATCTGCTTCTGGGGGTGTGAGTGGACAAAGCAAGACTGATGAATTAGACACTCTCTTTAATGTGTTTGTCAGTGTGGACACTTTATATATGCAGGCGTACATTTATGTTTCTGAAAATTGGGGTGTCTTTACTTGTGGCTGTAGGTGTGCATATAGGGAGTGGTGGTGTAGCTGTAATTGCACCGAGCTAATGACCCCAGTAGCCTAGGTTAGAGTCTTTGCCATCCGTTTCAAGCATTACGTGAAATTAGGACTCATCAGCACGGTATAGTCGCTGCTGCAAAGTGTACCTCCGCATGCGGTTTCCATTTGGCAGGCTTTGCAGGAGTGGCCAACGGTGATAATATATTTAATTATATATTAAATATAATGACTCGTGTACTTGTGCATGCACGACACATATAACCCCGGAGCATATATAAATTAAGATTCAAGATAATACAATTTAGATGCAAAAGCTGGGATTATTTTTTTGTATTAATGCTCAGGATCGGGGTCGACAACAATGACAAATCACATTAACCATTCAATTTGCGTGACGTTAAGGCAGACGTGTTAACGTTAATTGGGTTAACTGGGCGAGGTTCAACTGAGGCCATCTGGCAAATGTAAGTGGCACTCTGTTGACAGCCACCATTCTCATTCGGTCATTCAGTCACGTCTAACAAGGCCTTGGCTTTCTTTAGTGCCGCTCGATTACGAACAACCGTAGGTTGTATTATGGCCTCTTTTAGCATGACAGAATAGGGGTCACGAAAACAGAAGTCCACACGCTGTTGTAATCATCGATTAAAAGTTGCGTTAACAGATGGTGTGGGGAACGCGGTAAGAAGGAGAAATTGGTTGGTCAGGCGATTGAGAAAAAAAAATATCCTTGATTTGATGTAATGCATAAGCTGGTAGCTGCGTAGCAGGCTGGTAAATGTGGTAAATGTGGAACTATCGTGCATCCTTGTGCTGACCGGTTTGAGTCAGTGTTATTTGACTCATTGTTATTTTGACTCATTGTATACGAGTTGCTATTTTCGTCATTCATAACCTCTGCTTTTACATATTCATTCGTCATTTTGCACAGTTGGGTAGAGTACCAGAATGGCCGGCTACCCTTGCATTCAGTGACATGTCTTGTAGCCTAGCTCTCGTAGTGTCTACCGTAGCCCAATTGCGATTCGAGTTATCTTCAAGGCTTAACATTCGAACGCTTGGCACTGCATTGTCCATTGCAGTCTCGCTCGCGTGCCACGGCTTCATTGACAATTGAGGCCGTCGTTCTGCTAATGCACCGCTAAAGCCCCCCCCCACAAGCCGCCCCCCGATTGTGCGAGTGTGAGGCCAAGGAACTCCTGTGCAGGTGGCACGGTGAGGCCGAGGACCTCCTGTGCAGGTGGCACGGTGAGGCCAAGGACCTCCTGTGCAGGTGGCACGGTGAGGCCGAGGACCTCCTGTGCAGGTGGCACGGTGAGGCCAAGGACCTCCTGTGCAGGTGGCACGGTGAGGCCGAGGACCTCCTGTGCAGGTGGCACGGTGAGGCCAAGGACCTCCTGTGCAGGTGGCACGGTGAGGCCAAGGACCTCCTGTGCAGGTGGCACGGACTGCAGTGACCAGATGAGAGTTGACCGGTGTGGAATCCACTCGGTCATAATTGTCACCCAGAATTGGGTTACTTGCCTTTATTGTGTTTCTAATGTTGTAAATGTTGTGGCCGTTATGCCATTATGTGACCGAGGCTGCAATCAACACACCGGTGCCACAGTGACACGAGCTGACAAGCCAACTGGTCTAGACCTGCATTATACTGCTCCGCTATCCAATAGCTTTCTCCGGGTGATACGTTTTTGAAAAGAAACAAAGGCAAAAGAAAAAAAAGCTAATTCCGCTAATGTGTTTGCGTGCGGTTGGTTCACAGCGGCGAAGGCACCGATCACAAAGTGCTTTGTCTGGCTTGAAGGCACGCTGCTTTGTACAGTGCATGATTCAAAGGGAGTGCAGGAAAACTGGGGGGGGGGGGGGGGGGAGTATAAACGGATGGGTTGTGACGGAGAATGTGGTGACGTGGCACACACCACCCCGCCTTCCCGCAGGCCAGGAATGACATCCTCAGGGAGGATGAAGGGCAGGAAGCGGGGCCGAGCAGCTATAACGGACTGCCCCACAGCTACTCAGAGATGAGCGGGAGCGATTAATAACACTTCTTCTGTGTCTGTGTGGGTGTGCGCGTCTGTCCGCCTGCTGCCTCTTGTGCAAAGCAGGCTGGTTGTGCAGAAATGTGTTTACCAGCGAGTGTGTTTCTTGTTATGTTGTAAGCTTTATATTAATTAATTATTATATAAAAAAATCTGCTATTGTACATTGGTCCTGAGTACAGTGTATAAAAATATATGCAATTGCATCTTATTTTGGGACTTTTTTAAGGAATGCAAAGTGTAAAAAAAAATCTTTCTTCAAAAGAACAAAGGTGGAGCTTCATGAATGCAGAATAAAACTTGTAATATATTAATTACATTTATATGTAGACAAAATTAATTCATTTTTATATGGAGCAAAACGTGCATAGAAACATCATGTAAATGAAAGACTTGCATGCACACTGGATATGTTACTGACATTTACACCACTTGCCGTACTGCACTAGAGGCTGTTACCCAGTGTCATTGAAGCTGTTAGGGCCCTGGTGAGATGTCTTGAACAGCAGTAGAATCAGAATCTTTGTTTAGACTGTGCAGTGCATGGGGGGGGGAGGGCTACTGTTGGTCGTCATGGAGACCCTAGGAGATACACGGCCCCCCTAACCGCAATCGTATAGAGTGGGGGGCCCTTTTTGACTGCATTGTCTGCTCATGCATTTACGCAGACCGGCCAACAGCGGGCCCTCTTTTCAACCATGAGCCTCCTGCTTTACTACAAAAGGATGATGGTGAAACTCCTCTTTATCAAATTCCTGTCTGCTACTTCCCTAATGCACACCGCTAGTTGATCCGTACATGGACTATTTCCATCCACGGATAATAGGATTTGTAGTCTCCCAGAAGCACTAACGTGATCGAATTTGTAAACATTTTTGCACGTTATAATTGCACAAAGCAGCGTGGAGAGATGGAATTCTACTGAGAGACAGAGGAGCCACGGGGGTTATAGAGCACGTGCAGGTTAGTGACATCATTCAAATTGTTACAATGTGTAAGTGTGCGTGTGCAGGACACGTCGCTAGAAGTAGCGTTGGCCGATATTTAAGTTATCACTGAGTGGCAGCCAAGGAACGTGCAAGTGCTAGGTAGATTATTACATCATTACTTGCCTCTAACAGTCTGTTAAGGCTATATAGGGGGATCTTTGTCCTTTATTACATCACAGGATCCGAAGAGATGGCATTGCCTTGGGGGAGGTTTTCATCCAGTAGTGGATTGACCCGGGCTGATGATGATGACCATGAAAAATAATTATTTTCACAGATAGCTCTTTCCATGATAACTGCCCAATTGTTAATGTATCCCTGACAATACGCATTAATTATACAGCATAGGCCCTTTCTTTGTATTGTTTTGCTTCAGCATGCGGTACTTCCAATGGCTTACTGTGTCACGGTAGTAATGTCCTTCTTCCAGAACGGTCGCACTGCATCTTTAGACTTCGTAGGGTGCTGCTGGAGATACTCAGCCATTTTGTTACGTGGTTTATTTTGTTAAAATAGGAATGCTCAGATTAATCCCATGTAAACAGCTGCACATGAGTACATTTTATGACGGTTTATTCAGCCATACATCTTGTAAGTTCTTAGTTAATGCGCAAAGCATGCATTTGAAGTACATCTTATTATCTACATCTTTGAACACATTAAGTGCTGAATATTGACCTGATAATATCTGCCTCATTTTTCCCTCACTCTTGTATTTTGCCCCTTCCTGCGCAACTGTCGTTATTATCTTGTTTACTTTTACTGTATTCCTGTCACATGTATTTGCTGTCAATACTGTCATCTGTATTGTGTTTCCTCTAAATTACTATTTATCCACGTCGTCCCTTGGCATTGCCTTTCATTTTGTTCCATCTCTTCTCACCCATCTGTTTTTTTCTTTGTCTGTTCCTCTCCCCCCCCACCTCCCATGTCTCATTTGCACTGTCGCTGTCAATTAACACTTACCCAGAGGCCCCTGCTCCTGCATCCCGTGGGACCCCTCTGTACGGGAGGCCGTCGTGGTGGGGTGAGAGCGACGGGGAGTGGAAGGGCCTCGGGGCCACGGACTCCTCCCTGCATAGAGACAAGTTCAGTGGGACCGACGGTGCAGCAATGCAACACTACCCCTCTCCTCCGGGTTCGTGTTTCCACCACGCTGTGACCTGTCATAGCAGCTCTAGTTAATGAATCGTCATTACTGTGATCAACATCACTGTAATGATCATTATTACAATTTGTGTTTTATTTTATGTTGCTTCAAGCATGTGCAAGCCCATCGAGGCACTGTGTTGTCTGTTTTATTTGGGCGGGCGTTGTTTTTTTAATCTGACATGTCATGCTTTTTGTGCGTTTATTTTTTATTGGGCGGCAGGGTGGTACAGTGGTAACACGCGTGTGTCGCAGCGAGAGGGGCTTGGGTTTCATTACTTTCTCAGGTGCCTTTCTGCGTTGAGTTTGTATTTTGTCTCCCGCTGTTATGCATGGGTTTCCTTCGTTGCATCCAGTTTGTTCTCGTAACTAAAATAACATACACTGGAACTGGTATATGCCAAACATCCCAATGCTGTCCAATTAACTGCAAATTATAGAAATGGGATTACACACAGCAACATCACCGGTGTTATTTTTCTCAACTTCCTTGCAATCGCATTCTTTTTAATGTTCAACTAGAGGTTTCGGTGTTCTTTACACTCCATGTTAAATTCAATAGCCACCTGTGTGACAGGCCACTTAAGTCATGTGATCCGTCAAAGTGCACCTTCCATGCTCTTCCTACCATCTGGCCGAAGGAAGTGATGGCTATGTGTGGCGATATCAGTGGCATTGGCCATGATTGCCCTGACCTTGACATCGTAAACAATATCTTGCTTTTTTGCAGGAATTTATTTTAGTCCAGACAAAACTAAATAAAGATCAACGGTACAACATACGTTGTGGGGACTGAGTTGGTATTTATGTACAGATGGAAAACACCTTACGGCTATTTCCATTAATACTGCTATGTGACGGAAAATATTATATCTCAGGCAGTTGCCCTTATTCTAAGCAGAGATAAATAACACGTGGAAATATTGACTGCTTTATAGTTGGGTATTGTATTTACATTGTGGTGCAGCAATTGGAACATGGATTTAAATCATTTGGAATTTGGCAATGGTTGACATTAACCATTTACTTTCATCAACATTGCGTATGGAACAAACCCATACACGTGGAAATTACACGTCTTCTTTCATATGGCCAGGTTCAGTTGTAAGTGATTTAACCTTCATTTATTTAATCAGTTCCCTTAAGAGTTGGTTGATTGGAAGTACAATACCTTCAAATATATAACTGGGGCAGCGCGAAGATACGTGGATCATCGTTTGGAATTCATAGCCGCAGTCGCACACATGATAGTCTGATGTTCCTTATTTAATTCAGTAAAATAGACCAATCTTAAAGTTCAACAATGCATCAAGGGAGACCTGTTTGTGCACAGTTACACCGTGCGAAAACAGGTTATTGAACAATAATAAAATAAAAGCGCGCACTGCTCTAATGTAGTCCGCTTAACACGTGGGCTTTCGCGACCAATATTATCCATTGTAGAGGTTTTTGTTGGGTTAGGTCGCGTAATTGGTATGTTTTGTTTACGTGATAAACCTTAATAATTGGCTGTGTCGGGTGGTGGACGGGTTTAACGACACATTCGTATTTACGAAATCTAACACAAAAAAACCTCTTATGCTTTTAATGTACTTCATAAGTAGGTATTTGAGTTATAGAAGGCATTGCTGTGTGTGAAAATACCAGACTTTGTGAACATCGATAGAAATTTACAGTTTACACCACGCACGCAGTGCACTGGATATGGCTGGTACGTGCGTGCACATCCGCGTGCCGCAGATTTGACCGTGCGCTTGTTTATTTGGCATAAAACATTTAACGGCGCAGACGGAGCGAGTGAAGAGGAGGCACAGAAGAGCGGCGTGGGCTCGTTGTACATGGAGGGAGCCAACGGCTACGCTGGGCTGCGCCGGGAGCCCAGCTACTTTGAAATTCCCACCAAGGAGCTGCAGAGAGAGGGCTCGGAGCCACCCACCAGGGACACCGACTGCACCGCCAACGCGGTACGGCCCCGTTGAGAGAGCGCCGGGCACAAGGGGCGCATTTCGCCAAATCATCCGGCATGCACCCCGGTGATTTGGTGACCACGAAAGCGTAAAACAGAGGGGTGTAGGCTGCTAATTGATGTTTCGCATGTGTTCACGTTAATAGAATCAGAGAAATATTACTTGTGGATGTCATCAAAATTTAAATTGTAGAATTCCTGTGAGGGGAGTTAATCGGCAAATGAATTCTATTCGCAATTATCAGAGTAAATTCGTGGATAACACGAATTTACTCCACTTAGCTGCAAAAAATCGTCCACACCACCGTTGATGAGAGGAGTCATTCTGCAGTAGTAATAATACAATTTGGCATACTGCTGCGCCGTGTAATGCTAACTTAACCCACTGTCTTGGTCTTTGCGGTCCGCACAGACCGACCCCGGCTCCCCCTTCGTCAGCGGGCCGGGCCACGCCTCGTTCACCATCGAGTTCGACGAGAACTCGCCGGGCAAGGTGACCATACGAGACCATGTCCCGGGAGCGCCGGCCGGCAGCGGCGGAGGTGGCGGCGGCGGCGGCGCCGCGGGCAGCGTGTGCTCGGGCAGCCCCGGCCCCGGCCAGCCGGGGGGGCGACCGCGCCTCTCCGGCCGGGACTCGCCGAGGATCGCGGCGGACGGCGTGGTGGGGGTGGCCGCTGCCGCCGACAGCAAGGTGGCCGATTGGTTGGCGCAGAGCGGCGTGCCAGCAGCGTGTGCCAGACGCTCCGCTCGCAAGGCCGGGGACCCTGTCGTCAGTGCCAAGGGCGAGGCGACGGCCAATGGCAAGGCCTTCAAAGGCAGGTCATGACCCCTTTTTTCCTTGAAGTGATTAATGTAAGGGTTGAGGATGACGGGGTGAGTCGAGGATAGTGCTCCGAGCCAGCAGCATTGAGATTTAAGTGTTAGAATGTGACTCGGTTTGATTAAAATGTTCATTTATAAAATTTCAACTTGCTTGGACTTCATTGGTTCATGAATATTGGCCGCCCACACACGCTGATTTACCAATCTCTTTTATTTGGTACCCTGCATCGACGTCGCATCTACTTTTATTTATTATTTAAACTTACAAATTGTAACCCTGTGCCACCGTCAGGGAGCAAACACGAGGACGGCACGCAGAGCGATCGCGAAGATGAGAGCGTCCGCGGCTCGGGAGGAGGGAAGGGCGGCTCTTTGCGCGACGCCCTCGCCAAGCACCGTCTGGAGCAGCAGCAGGCGCGTCTCCGCTCGCGCGACGACGGCGGCGGCGGCGACAGCGGCGGCGGCGGCGGCGGGGGGGGCGTGGGGGGCGCCTCCTCCCCCGGCCCGGCCCAGCAGGGGACGCCGCCCGCACAGCGCCAAGGCGTGCCCGGCCACGGCGCCGCCTTCACCATCGAGTTCTTCTTCAACGAGGACGATGGGAACCCGCGCAAACGTCGCTCCAACTCGTTTTCGCCGGGCTCGGCCCCGGAGGCGGCCGACGGCGGCCCGCTGACGGCGCTGCGCGGCAAAGTGGGGCGCGCCGAGCGGCCCTCCGCCTCCCCGCGGGAGACGGAGCCTCGCGGGAAGCCGCCGGCGACGTCGAACGGGGAGCGGCGCTCTCGGGAGGGCTCACCGCACACCGGGGAGACGAGGCTCCTCTCCGAAAAGACGTTTGTGTCGGTCTCCGTGGGGCCCAGGCCCGAGCTGCCGCGCACGTCGCCGGACGGGGACGCGCAGAAGAACGGGGACGGCGGCTCGGGGGTGGGCGGCCGAGGCGGCGACCACCGTGGTTTGCTCGCGGAAATTGGAGAAACTTCGAAGGTCGGCGAGGACGCGATAGCCGGCCTGCACCGCCAGCTGCACCTTGGGGACACCATGCCAAATCAATGTCACAAAGCCTCTTTTAATTCGGCTACACATGTTGAAATACATTTGTTTGTTATCCACATACTTTGACTGATTAATCAGTACTCCTCATAGTTGTGCTAAATACATTTTTAGAATACCATCATTTTTTTTGTCTTCAAATAACTTCCAACGCCTTGAAATAGACAAGCTGTTTAAATATTAACGCAATGCCAAGTGTCAGCTAATGCTTCTTTGTTGTAGCTTGCTTAGAAATAAATTTGACAGAACTAATAGCTGTATAGATTTTTCCAGATCAAGTACTTTCAACAACTAGAGAAACCAGCAAGAAATTGTTAACATGATCTCACACTGCCCCTGCAGTGATGCAGCAGCACGTGCCAATGTGCATACATAAGGATTTATCATTATATTTTTTATTCAAAGAATGAGATTATACCTTCTTGACCAGATTGTTTGTGCCATAGGCTCTCATGAGTTGGCTACGGCAAATTAAATGTATTCATAATTCCGTGAACATTTAGTTGCAAACTTGATAGCAAAAGAAAACACGGAGACTTTTGAGAACAGTGTCAGAACTACCCGAAGTTGCCCTGTGTGGCTGACTTGTTATTTCTAAACTTAAACAAAATGTAGACTCCCTACTGGTTGTTTGGCACTAACTGATTCCTAGTGAGTATTGTATTTGTCAGGTTTGCCTACAATGATTTTGAGTTCATGATTTGATTATTGACTCTCTATGTTATACGGGAGTGATATTTTTGTTTGTTAAGTGAATTGGTCAACGGAATTTTTTTAGTACATTTCTTACAGCTTAACGATGTTTTGTGTTAATGCGCAATTCAGTTATATCATGGCTGAAGTAGCTTGAATACAACTAACAATAATATATCGAGGCACTATCACTGCAGTAGGTACTTAGTCAGATGGTGGGCTTCAATTCAACCAGGCCTTCGAAGTCTGGTGTTGGCTGTGCAAAGGCTGTAGGCTCTACCAGAAGGATGAAAGCATTTGAAGGGGCTTTGGCATCAATGGTATTGTCGTTGATGACCTCTTGACCTTGACCTTTATATCCCAGGTATATGGAGTGTCAGTCAACGTCAGCTCATCCCTTCCTCACACGGACAAAGATGGGAAAACAAAGGCAGATGGCATAACAGCAGCGTCGGCTGCTTTGGGATGGAAGGATGGAAAACCTGAACTGGAGTGGCAGAGTGGATTGGGAGGAACCATAGCGGTCTACCCAGTAACACAATTAACTGGCACAGATCCTTTGGCACAGGTATTCTTCTCGCTTATTTGAACATCCTTTTACACATTTACCTTGTGCGTTGTGTGCGTATGACGTGTTTTTAACGGCTGAGTTAAACTCCTTCCGAAGAGTAGGGAGGTTAAACTCCTTCCGAAGAGTAGGGAGGTTAACTTCAGTGTTAAAACAAGTGTAGTACGTGTAATGTCATGCGTAATGTCTGTTTTGGTGCACGGATCAAAGCAAATAAAATTCGATGCTTTTGTTGCCTTCAGATACAGACGCGTTTGTACGAAGCTCGTAACTTCTGGCAGAATAGAATTAAGCGCACAGCAAATTTGCATGAGAACATGGCATGTAATTGTAGATGTACTTCTGCAGAAGATAATACGATGGGTTGCTTGCATGTGGCGGACAAAGGCGTGCTGCTTGTTACCAGAGCAGGTACCGAGATTGACATCTGTTGGTCAGCAACCAAATGGAAGACTTAAAACCACACGAAGTGATCCTGTAAAAGCACATCTTTGAGTCGAATGTTGGCTCTGCAAAACAGCTATTGGGTCCAGCAGAAGGAATTGATGGTGCGGTGTGGTGGCATCAACATCGCTGGCGGCGATGACCCTTTGATCTTGATTCCATTAACGTTTCGTTTCCCGTATTTCAAAAACGGCTGTGAACCTTTCTGGTTCATTTCCCAATTGCCCACACGGGAGGTTCCTGGAGACGTTTTAGTGTCTCTTTGTGCTTTCGTGCTTGTAGCTTGATTGGGAAAACATTGGTTATGGTCTTTCTGAAAGTGCGGTTCCACATGTGTTATTTAGTCAATTAAAATACTTAACCTGGAAAATCCCTTGAGATGGAACCTTCTCGTTTTCAACAGTGCCGCGTGACATTTAAAAGCGTGACAAAAATAATTAACATAATAAACAGGGGGTGTCAACTTGAAGGTAATTTCCAGAGTTTTATCAAATATGGCTTATATATTGAGTAATGAAATGGTTTGACACGCACCGGAAACTGAATGCACCATCACCACCCCTCCCATTGTGGGTGAAATAGTTTGTCTGAGTACATCGACACCGTGGTATTTTACGAGCATTTCTCCCATCGTCAAGAAACGGAGACATTATTTCTATCTGATTTAGAGTCCTCGACAAACTTTGTCCGAATTATAAAAGCCACTTCATTTTTGCTACTCGTGATTACCCCGCATCGTTATCGTGTCTTAGATGTGGGTACAATGCAGCAGTTGCTGATTGGATCTCCTGGCGCAGCTGTTGAAACAAACAATGGACACGTTTCTTAGAATCCTCCCCTCTGCCTCTCTCCACTTAGGAGTATAAATGTTTACTCCACAGTGAAGTAGCCGGTTTGGTGTGTGGTGGGTAGAATAGTGTGGTTGTGTGTGTGATGGGTAGTATAGTGTGGTTGTGTGTGTGGTGGGTAGTATAGTGTGGTTGTGTGTGTGGTGGGTAGTAGAGTGTGGTTGCTCCGACCTCTCCTAAGAAGTTTGGCCAGTGTGGAAGAAAAGGCAAAAACACCCTCTTTCTGGGTCTTCTAGAGCCCCTCTCGAATGGGGGCCCTTCCTCCGACAATGGTGTGAGCAGCACATTTCAGAATTATATATTTACCTTTGCCTAATGTGTATTATGAGATGCTTGCTTAATGACCAATTAGTACATTGCCTTTTTGCAGACTAGATCTCCTCCTACAGTCTGCTTCAAAGGTCTGCTGTGGGGTAAACCTCCGGTATGCGGCCTTGTCCAATTCACGCGTGTGTTCTATTCTCCGTTGCTCACAGCAGGCAAGGCCCGTCGGCCCTGTGGCCCCCAGCGCATCCCAGTATCGCTCGCAGTGGGCCAGCTTGGCCACAACCCCAAATGGGAGCTGGCCCAGCTTCCCTCCAGGCCAGGACAGGCCTACCGAGCCCACGCCCACAGCCCCTGACAAGGGTAAGCCATTCTTGACTTCATTATATTAACCTTTTCCCGTTCCAATGATGCACACGTACATCATCAATTTGTCTTCCGATTCCATTCTGATGACCTACGTGAACCGGAAGAAAAATAAAATAACTTTATGGGTAGCGAGGCTCCCAATAAGGCTATGCGGGAGGGCGTGTGGGAGTTTGGTGCCAGCTATCGTAGAGCGTGGTCGTGTCACTACGGTTTTCTGCGGTGAGAACAATGTCTTTAAAAACACCGGTGCTACGCTTCCCTAAATAAAACTAATGCTGAACCGCTTGCGCCTTCCGAGATTCGGCGGTGAACGGGACACCCACCCTGGCAACTTGGAGTTGTCTCAGAATGGGAATGGGTTAACATCTGCCTGAAGCCGGCGGAAGTCCGATGAAACATTATATTCATGTGAGGCTCCACAATCCCTTCAGGTCATTTTTTTTTGCATTGTACTATGCCACTGAGGATCTGCCTTCTCACTTTATGTGTATCAGTGTTTTTTTATGTGCAATGCAGCACTCTCTGATGACTGTATAATTCAGCTCGTATTTTTTCTGATCCCATCAGACAATTGCAATTTATACTTCCTCAATAGGTTGTGTGTTTTAGATTGATGTCTGTTTATCTGAGCTCATGACTTAATCTAGCAGTTGGGAGGCAAGGGTTGGTGGATGATACACTTCCAACCTTTCTGGCCTGTGAATTTGCCGGGAGTAAATGGGTTGTTAACCCATCTCTGCAGAACCTTTAGAATTAAATGCCCTCTTCTTCGCACACACCATGATCTTTCGTGGAATTTGCCAAAAGTCCTCATGTAGGACCGTCTTGAATATGAGTCTTGATACTCAGTCAGGCTTTTGAGGATAAATACATTCCAGGATTGTAACTGCAGCAAACTAAAAGCAGTTTTGTGGTCTGTCCAGGTCGGCAAAACCTTAAGACCCTCGTAATGTAAGTTGAACTAATCACTGTCTCTGCAGAGATATAGTAATTGTTTTCCCATGGTAAAAATTATGCTCACAAACTTCAAGAACATTTACTCCCCCACCCCACATTTTTGCTGAAATCCTTAATGATTACAAACAAAAAATCCGTTTCCTAGAAGTGGCTTTTTGGCTTTGAAATTGTATGCCCTAATTCAAGCGGTAAGCCAGCAGCAACATTGAAAGCCTCGCTATAATTTAGGGGCAGCTACCCATGACTAAGCCAGGCTCGGCTCTCCTTTGTAGAAAAGGTGATTCTCTTAGACTGTAAACCCATAACTAAAAGAAGGAAAAAAATCTGGTTTGATGCTTAGTTGAACATATGCCTTAGCTAAGAATACTGTTCAAAGTATGTAAGTTGGTAGATCTTCCCAAGAGTAATCTTTACTAGATTTGTAGATTGTGAGTCATTATCGATAAAGGTTAACATTGGAAAAAAAATATTCTTATGAAAGTTATTTGCGAACAAGAAAACGAAAATAATTTAGCGGGAGTATACAATAAAATAATGAAATATAACCATTCTCAATCTACCAATGGATGATGGGCTCCTCTCCCCATATTGGTTTGGTATTTTTTTTCTTCCACACTTTAGCTAACTGGTCAGTGTGGGTTGGTCAAGTGAGGAGAGGGAAAGGCCAGATCTGATAGCACTTGCCACTGATATTAGCCATGGCCGGAAATCGAATTTGGGTTTGTGGGTTCATAGCACAATTTGCTTGCTACTGTACCAGTGCCCCAACCCCTCAAAGGAGTGTATGCTGACTGCTGACTCACAAATATTGTGCAGCATGATTAAGATGCAACGCTAATTAAAATTCAGCTCTTGAGAGCCTACTATCATAAGGTTGTGAGTTCAAATCAATTTAGAGGGTCATCTGAGCCCATTATACTGTAAAATGCATACTACTTTGTGGGAAATGAAGAGTGGTTGTCCTATCAATAGACTGGCCCCTGCCATAGAAAATGACAATTTCCATCATTGGCTCAGAGCCAGCAATAGAAGAGAGTACAGCCTCATGCTCTGTGAGCTGACTTGTTGTGAGTATCAGGAGCATACGGCCATTTGGACGTGTCAGCTACTCAAAACACCATACTGATGAGGTACAGATGAAAACATGTTTTTGGTTCTCCTGCTGACACATTTTCATTTTGTCTATTTGAAGGCTATAAATACTATAGGCCACATAGCTATCAGGTTTGATGGTGTGTAACCATGAGTGAGACCGGTCGGTATGGTAGCAGTGTCGTCTGCCTGTGATCGATTCCCGTTCTCGGTTTCTGTCTTGGCAGATGCCGACGGCGGTGAATCGTGCGTCTCGGTACGCAGCTCCGCTTCAGACGGCACCAGCAGCCAGTCGGACAGGAGGCGACGGGCGTTGCCGCAAATCCCGCTCGAGAGAACGCACTCGGACGGGATCCCCACCACTGCCGTGGGGCCATTCCTGGCAAGACCCAGTACGGGGACGGGGGCAGTCGAGGAAAAGGAAGGGGCCAGAGTCGTGGCTGCAGACGGTTTGGCGAGCCAGGACGGTCAAACGGTGGCCGAACGAGCCGCTTGTGGTGGAAACATCTGGGAGATTGATGTCACGTGCACGAGCGTGAAGGAGTCTGCGTCATTGGGCTTGCGCACCTTGTCCGCGAAGACAACGGGGATGCAAAGAAGCGATGCTGGCGATGTTAAAGGAGGCCCTCGGCAGCCGTCGCAATCGGACTCTGGCTTCAGTACGCCAAAAACGTCGTACCATAAAGCTGGCGATGAGCAAAGGGACAGCGCGGGTAGCAGGCAACAGTCGACTAAATCGGACACGAGGCCAGAAAGTGAAGGCGGCCTGTCGACAAGGCCCTTTGGAGACAAACCCTTGAAGGCCATCGGACTCCTAAATTCATCCTTGCAGGACGAGGTCCTGGGGCGACCACGCAGTGCCTCGGAGAGCCGCCCCACCCGGCCGAGCGACGTGCAGAAGAAGAGCAGTGGCAAGGCGCTCGTACGCCAGGGCAGCTTCACAAAGGAGCGGCCGAGCTCGCTGGTGCCAATCGAGATGCTGCCGCACATCAGCACCGTCGCGCCTGCCGAGAGCCAGTGTGAAGGTACCGAGGCACGGTCACCTGCGCCTTCGTCGGAGGCACCAAAGGCGCGAAGCTGCTCGAGGGATGAGTCCGAAGCAAAGGGAGGTGCTGCTGTCGGCAAAGATTTTAGCGCGGGGCACAGGGAGCGGAGCAACGGCGGTGAGACACGGAAGAGAAACGATTCCGGCAACACGGCATCCAGCACGGACACTTCTCTGCTGCTGAAGGAAACCGAAGCAGCCGTGGCAGCGCTGGAGGCCAAGCTGTCGGTGTCGGGTGGTTGGGAGGGTCTAGGGAGCCCAATCCGTTCCCCATCGCCCGAGTCGGATGTGGACACCTCGAGTACTGTGAGCCTGGTGAACGGGGAGGGCCAGCGGAAGGCTGTGACGCAACGCAAGGCCTCCGCCAACGCCCGCGAGAAACTGTCAGAGCTCCGCAAGGCGCGCTCCGTGGATCCCGGAGCGAAGGCGGACGTTGTGTTGGGCTCTCGTCGCACCAGGCCCGGTGTGGACAGGGTCGGAACGGTCGCCCGCCCGCCTTCGGCGGACTGGACGACGGACGACGATCGGCCGTCTTCCTCCACGGCGCGCGCCGCATCCTCGGATCGCGCGTCCGGCTCGCATCCTCCGCCGGGGCTCACCTCCACGGACGAGCTCATGAGAACGAAGCTGGAGGGCAGAAGGGCGTCCGCGGCGGCGACGATGTCCAGGGGCGGCGGCGCCGTGGCGGCGCCGCCGCCCCGGGGCGGCTTCGTGCCGACGCCGCCGTCCTCCAAACCGAGGCCGACGCGAACGTCCCTGATGCGGCGCGCCCGCCTCGGCGACGTGTCGGACAACGAGTCGGGCGACGTGGACCGCGCCTCGGTCATCTCGGACGTGTCCACCACGAGCTCGACGGGGGCGAGGCCGTCGCCCCAGCCGGGGCCTCGCAGGAGCCTGTCCCGCATCGACCTCCTGGCCCAGCCCCGGCGGCCACGCGTCTCGTCCTCGCGCAGCGACACAGAGGCCACCGTGGTGAGCTCGTGGCAATCATCCGCGCTTCCCGTGGGATATCTATCTTTTTTTGTATCACGGTTGCGGAGTGCAGGCCCAAAGGACAAAAATGCCATGCAGTTATCCAACAACTAAGAGCACTGTTGAAGGTGTAATGGATAAGAGTTTAATTACGTGTGTTTTTAATTGAGCAAGGTAATACGAAGTTGGCTAAAGAGACAATGAGAGGCAATTCTAAAGTTTTAGAAAAGAAGTGGAACGAGAGTTTTGACGTGCATTGTAGCAGATGAGACGAAACAGTCTGGGAGACAAGAGTGCTCAACATGTTTCGGAATCATTGAGCTTATTTTGAGTGTGGAGCTATTTTAGCCTTATTATTGTTAAACATTAACTCCCACACTTGCTCAGCGAGCTCCACATTAAATCCTTTTGATGACTGCTCCTCATTCTCAGAGGGAGGGAAGGGGACCATAAGCCCATTGGGCAGCGAGCGCCACACACGTTACGCGATCTCACCGTTGCTCGTTCACTCGCCTGTGCACGTAGATGTCTCCGGCTTCGGGCCGCTCGAGCCTCGGAAGCCGCATAGCCGAGGCGGGCAGGGGCAACCTCGCGGCGGCACGCCTCTCCGGAGCGGCCCACGGGACGCCCGGCGCCATGGCCAGGAGCCGCACGTGCAGCGAGTCGCGCGACCGCGAGCCCCGCAGCCGCTCCTCGAGCTCCACGCACAGCTCACCGTCCGGTATGGCAACCGTCCTTGTCGTCGGAGCCACGGTGGCTAGGAGATGTTAACTCACCTCGCCTGGTGTGCAGGAGGGCGTGGGTGGATCCCGACCCTGACGCCTGCTGCTGCTGTATATTTGGAGTTTGCGGTGTCTCTCTCCTCGTGGTCGCGTGGATTTTTTTTCTCTGGATCCTCCAGTATTTAAAAAAACAATTTAGAAACATGCGTTTAGATTATTTGGATTATTTTACTGCTGTAAATAGTCAAATGATAAGGCACTTCGTTGAGCTGTCATTTGTGGCCAGGTCGCTTCTGAAAAAGAGCTACATAGCTCAGTCGGCTTTATCTGGTAAAATAAAAAATGGTTTAAATAGTTTAGTTTCTTCAACGTCAGCCATGATCAATCCACTGCTGGATGAAGTCCTCCTCAAGCCCCTATTATCTCATGCTGTCTGACGATACAATAATGATGGTTGAGTGCCATGAGCATACTCGGGTAAACTGGACGAAGTGTAGTTTTTACACTCCGACTACTATGTCAATATTTAAGAGATGGCCAATGCTTCCTTCCTTCTGCTAGCTTCTGTAGAGCCCTAAGCAGCAGCGCCCCCCTCTACATGTGTTTGTGGTGTCATTGTTCTACTGAAGGCCCCGCGTGCTCTTGATTTTTACTCAAGTAAATTCATGTTTTCAGTCCGAGCAAGTTCCACTCCATTTGAAGTAATTTTTGTTGTCTTCATAATTGTGATTCTTTTTCCCTCTCTCCTGCGATAAATTATCCGTGGTGTTTCATTATCATCGTCATTATTGTCTTTACAAAGTGTGTACACCAACTTAATACACATTTATGATCCTTAGGTGGATGAATTTTTTAATATAAAAAATAATTTCAACTTTGTAAATAACATCAAGGGACAGATTCTCCAAAAAGTTGGTCAAAATTTTTCACCTAACAATTTTTCTGTAGTGTTTGGCAATGGAAACATTGCCACATTTTCGTCATTTTTTTTTAACTAAAACTGACTTTTTCCAACCACATGAATTGGGTTCCAAATGTTACAGCTCTCTCACAAGGCATCCCACTCATGCACTGCCCATTCCAAAGTGGCTGCTTAATCATTCCTGCACTTTGCTACTTTGGTTATTTTCAGCCACAATTTTGTTTGATTGATTGCAGAGAATGTCTAAGATTGGTTGTGGGAGTGAAATGTCCCTTTCATTGAAATAATAACTTATGTTACGCTCTCATGTGATTGTAATACATCTTAATATTTGAGTTTTGTATTATCTATTACCATGATTAATGATATCATATACAACATACAATCCTATGTCTAATAATTAACAAATGGAAAAAAAAAACCCCACAAGATTCAAGGATGCAATCTCCACCTCTTATTAATCCTTGAATCACCAGGAGGTTAAATGTTCCTATAAAATATCACAATTGTTAGAAGAAGCAAATGCATTTTGGCATGACTTTTGACTGTGACTTATCGTTGGTGGACGAACCTCGCGATGGTACTGACAGAGACAATGTACGTGAAGGCACCAGAAAAAGTGACATTAAAGTTTCGACCCAAAAAAAAGTTACACGGTTAAGGGTTGGACTAGACGGATGAGTGAGCGGTGGAATCCTAATTGAGTATCATGAATGTAGAATTACAGTAAAGGTTACATTCATGATGAGGCTTGATTTGTGGTAAATATTTAATTACATTGCCTTCATTTTCATCCATCATTTAATGAAAATATGGTAGGACCATAATGATGAAACGATTGTAATTATTGATGTAGACAATGCTGAAGGTGATGACAAGTGTTGACAGCAGTGATGGTGGCAGTGGAAATGATGATGATGACACACTTAAAAATGTGTATGTAGATAATAATGATTTATTTTTACTGTTGAAGTAATGCAAATGATATTTTTTCAGAGGTCTGCTTTCCTCCCATCATACCCCATGCTAGTGGTAAGGGCTGCAGTGTGTTCTGCTTTGGTAGAAAGCTTCATATCTGCTGCTTGCTTTGCGGTGCTGGGAAATGAAGTAACGTCTGTTATTGTGTCCAGTTGTGCGCTTTCCAAATCATGCTTGATAATTGCACGTATGGTAAGCATAAGAATCACTTGATGAATTGATTGATTCTTACAAATCTCGCGAATCGCCTGATGAAGCTGGTTGTAATCAATAGCGGAACGTCGTACTCTCACTGTAAATGTAGTGAATGTGTTTTCTCCAACACACCGGTGTGCTGAAGTAGTAACTAATTAAAAACGTTTGGTTTTACGTGACAAACCTTACTAATTGGCTGTGTCGGGTGGTGGTGGTGGGGTGTAATGGCACGTTTATATTTACGTGATCTAACCCAAAACAAACCCTTTATTAAAGATGATTGCGACTTTCCCAATTCCTGTGTTTTACAAGGGATACGTTTTGGATGGTGACACGTCAGACGTTTTATCGCCCGTTTTCCTCTTTCGATTTTTGCTGTTGCCGCATCCCAACACACAAGGCACGCGCTGGCGCCACCGCCTGACCGACTACACCTCCACCTCGGAGGACGAGTTCGGCGCCAGCCGTGGCGGAGGGGCCGCCCCCCGCTACTCCGTCCGCATGCGTGCACCGGGGGCTCCCGCAGACACCAGGGGGGGCGCGACGCGGGGTGGGCCCGCGACGGCCACGCTGGCGGCGCCTCACCACCACCACCACCATCACCGGCCAACGTCCGGATCGTCGTCCTCCACGTCGACGGTGACGTCTTCTCGGCCCCACTCTGGCGGCGTGGGAGCGGCGTTGCCGCCCCGCGGCGCGGCGACGGGCGGCGGCGGCGGCGGCGGCGGCGGTGCCGCGGCGCTGGGCGGCAGGAGGGGCGGCGGGGCGGCTCACACGGGCGCCGGCAAGCCGCAGGCCAAGGGCGGAGATGAGGATTACCTGAGGCACTGGACGGTGCACAGCGAGGAGATTGCGAGGTGGGGGTGGGGGCGGTGGCTGCGTCTCACCGTGAAGATGTGGTTGTTGTTGTTGTTGTCAGCCTGTGAGTTCCCTACTGCTGGCTAAATACCTGGCCCCATCTTCCTGCAATCTTTTGTTGCCGTTCTTGCCCGGTGGTGGCTTCCCAATTCTGTGATTTCATTGCACCAACTCTTCTGCCATCTTCTGCTTCTCACCGTGATACAAACGCACTAAACAATCGGGGTGGATTGACACATCGATTCACCAATTAATTTATATTTTGAAGGTCACCATAGATGCATGGATCCAAGCAAGCATCGATGCTTTTTATTTGTACATGCTGTATACAATGGGTTCATGTCATCTGTGCAGCCGCTAATGATGCAGCTGCAGAGGTGTTCTTAGTGAGGCTGTTATTACCATGTCAAAGCCACTGAAAAGCTGGGTTTGATTTCATGCAGCCAACTTGTATTGAACCACATTCTCAAGCGTAACGAGTTGATGGTCTCCGCTTTTGCGGCCGTCTGGAATGCTCTTCCTTCCGATATTATGAAGCCACTGGAGCTTTGCGCTTTTTAATCTAAATTGAAAACTCATTCTTTAGAGCTAATTGTTGTGTTTAGTTTGTTGTCCTTCCCCAACACCTCCAATTAACACAATTGGCTACCTACGGTGCGAAATAAGTTCAACATGCATACATACCACCTTTCTTTACCTGCTCGGCTCCTCATTCTTCATGCCTCCTCCCTCCCGGCTGGAAAATCAGTTCTGGCCGTTTGGTCAGATCCTCTGTTGTTAAGTTACGGCGCGTAAGAAATTCAACTGTGCGTACATCCAACGTTGCACGTGCCGCAAATCGACTTTGGCGGACACGCCTTGGTCTCGTCGTCGACGTCCGTGCGTGTTTTGTGACGGCCATACGGTGACGGGGCCGACCTCCTGGCATGCCGCAGGATCAGCAAAGACCTCGCCAAAGACCTGGCCATCCTGGCACGCGAGATCCACAGCGTGACGGGAGACCCGGATGGAGTCAGCTCTTCAGGCACGGCTCCCAGCACCACGGGCAGCACGGCCCCACCCACCCCCGGGTCTTCGATCGACGCGCGCGAGGAGGTACACAAATGACGGCCGTACGGTGCCAGGAGGGCACATTTGGCAAAAAAAAAGTGTTTTCGTTTACAGATGTACCTCTTCGTATTTGAAGCCAGCAACATGCTATTGTTTAGACATAGCGGTGTTTTCTCAGAAATATCATGAAGAACGCAGCTCGACTGATCCAATCGTATTTTAATCCCATGGTACTTTTATCTACTAGAGGATGACATTTGGTGTTGTGGTTATTTGAACTTGGTGAATATTGCCCAATCTGTATTTATTAAATATATGATATATTTACATGATGCAACGGCAGATAACTTCCAGAGTGCTTATCTGCTGGAGATTACATTTGCATTAAGGCCATGTTAGTAAGTTTTCTGTCGTTAAAATATAGCATGAGCATAGCAGTGTAAGCGTGTCCCGACATACTTAGATGTATGAATGCACTAGAGATGAACATGGAATGTTCGACTTGGCGGTTTCTATTCCGATGCCAGTAATTTGGAAACCAGTTGTTTTTGTCAGTAATCAACCACAATGTTGACTGATTATGGGTCGACGCATAACAATATAATGTAGTGTACAAAGGGGTGTATGGGGATAGATTAGCGGGGATAGTAAAGCAAATGGGTTCCTGTATTGACGTCCTTCCGATTCTCTCCTACGCCTCACGCGCTCCCGTGGACGAAACTCTCACCCTTGTCATCTCCAACATCAAGTCCATCGCATCATCCCCACCCATCTCTTTCGCCGAGCACTATTTAATGCAATGTTCATCTTCCCCTACGTTCCGGTTCCGCGTTGCCTTCAGCTTGCCAAGCATCCCGACTCCTTCATTTATCCGTTCTCGGTGGGCCTCAGGTGGTAGCGTGGCCCAGCGGTAGTGCATTTGACTCTTGTTGCAGAGGTTCACTGTTCAAGTCCGGCACCAGTGGTATTTCATATTTTGGGAAATGTGGAGGTGTTATCACGTGTCTCGGTATCAAGTAGAAATATAGAAAGTCAGAAAACTTTGTTCATCTCTTAGAGTATTCGTATGAATATAGTTCTTTAAATAAAAAAATCCATACATTTTACGATGATAATCAGTGTCAAAATTGTATATATTACATTGCTGATGGATTCGTGAATACTCTTTTTTTATCTTAAAGATATACCACCATTTAAATGTAGAAAACAATCCATCTAATACCATTAACTAATCACATCGAAAAATATAACAATGCCCGAGTTACAAGAACGCTTGTGGAAAGGTAATTAATTCGATCACGATGCAAGAACTGGCTGCTGGCTGTCTTTCCTTACCGTCTGTGCCTGTTTTTATTTGTCGAGCAAAACACACCCCTGAACTTTTCCCCCTTTGCTGCCTCTCTCCTCTCTGCGTTTCCCCCCCCCCACCTCTCCTTGTACCCTCCTCTCCCACACTCTCCCCCGCTAGCTTGTGCCTCGCATCTTTGATGAGAGCCTGAACTTTAAGAAAGTGCCGCTCCCGGAGAGGCCTTGCGCGGATAGCAATGATGGCACCGGGGGTCAAAGGTTATCAGAGGTCAAAGATCCCTTTACTCCCATCACGAGGAAGAGAACCTGGAGTAGAGATGAGGTCGATAAGAAGCTTTGAGTGTCGATCTATTTATGTATTTATTTAATTGTTTTATTTTGAGAGTGTCTTAACCCTTTCACTTTGTGATTAAATTTAGGGGTGGTCGTTAGGAAGGATGTGTGATTGATAATGTCTCTGGTTTCCTAGTTAGGTACATGCTTATGCCGAATTATGTGGGTTTCAATGTCTGGTGGTGGTCAATGGGAGTGGCATTCAAATGCTGGTGGCAAATTACTTTCCGTAAAAAAAATTGAGGCACGTGCATTTTGAGTGCAATATTAAGTGTCCTGATGTGTAACTGTAACTCTTAACCAACCCATGTGGCTAAATGATTTAGTGAATCAGTCCCTGGTGTTTATATTCACGTACTTTGTTTGGCCGATTAAATTCATATCCCACAATTGTTTATAGAACAAATCAAGGTATCAGGATTTAATGTGTAAAGGTGCAGTTTGGTCGCATTTGGAAAGCTAACTCTTTCCCACTTCACCTATAGTTATTTAAAGACACGACAACTTCAAAGGGGCAAAGTGAGATCATAAGAAACCAAAATAACTGACAATATAAGGAAATTGCATTTCAACATCTCACATCTCATTAGGCATCTTGATGCAAGTTTACTTGTTAAATATGATTAGCACACTTTTTCTAAAATACTCATGTCAGCTACAGGAAAATCGGCTCGCGCTTATCTCCCACACAGAATTTGTACCCAGCATACGGTGAGAAAACCCACACTGACTCAAATCCGTTAATTCTCCGATTTAACAATGGTGTTTGTTAATTGCATTCGCTGCAGACACGAACTGGTATGGAAGTATGATGAGAAGTGGTATTCATCTACAAAAGCCTCTGAAGCAGTAATCCTTTTGAAATGCGTCATACATGCTCTTCATCAATTGCAGGCTTTAATCAACTGAAGTGATATGCACGGTTCCAATGATGGGTCTCACGGCAGGCACATTATTCTGCGTGTGAATGACGGATCCTGGTTATCACATGAGCACATTGTAGCATTAATCAAGCAGGGTAGACGCTGAGAAGCCGGGAACCCACATTGAAAGGGGCAGAGCACAAAGAGCCTCTGCCCACGAATGTTATATTCTTATACAGTGTGGGGTTGTGGGTTGGAAGTGACTAAAGGTATGTCCTTTTCTCATTATTTCACAAGCCACGACTGATAATATGGTATCCAGTTATTGTAACCCGAATACAATGCACTCAACCCAGCTTGCCCAGTTCAGATTCCCCCCCTGCGCTGGCTCACATCGCCATGCTTTCACGTCAAAGTGTGCCGAATGGAAACACATTTTAGCTGAAATGGAATTTGTTTTTTGGGAAGCTGTAAGTTATGCTCCTATTGCGTCAATTTTCCACGTGAAATATTTCACTTGGCAAGTGCGGTTTTGAACAAGTGCAAGACGGGACCTAGCGTTGCAGATGTTGTCTCGTGAGGCTTCACAATGTATTTGCTTCAAGCGAAACGCACAAAGATATGTAATTAAGCACGCAGCGTCTGTGTGTATACGAAAAAAACCATCCAACGATTCCTTTAAGAAGTGTATCAAAATAAATGAGCAAATGTGACTGACTGACAGCTTTAGGCATATGCACAGAGGCTGCGTCTTCGACACACAATTTTGTGTTGCTTGAAATGCTACGGTTTTCCGGGTTACACTGTTCATTATGTCATGGTGGGTTTTTCTCAACATTTACACATTTGATTACATTGTATTTAACTATATATTCTTAGTTCTTTCGGTAAAGTCACGTTGAAGGGAAACAACAAAATGATAAAATATATTGTATTTAACTGTTTTTATAATTCGAATCCAAGGACAGGAGACTGTGAGAGTGAGGTGACGAGGTTCCGGCCTCCTGCCTATCCTCCATCACAGTTTATGTGCAATGTCCACTGTTGAAGAGGACTGCTTAAGAGCACCATTACACATCGTCCCGCTCTGCTGGCTATGACTGGCAATGGGAATCGCAGGGATTAGGACATGCACTGTATTCAATACATTTGGCGACTACTACTGTTGAATAAATTGTCTGTTTAACTTTCAATCTTTATATACCTTTATGAAGATTACAAAAAACGTGAACCTGCATTGAAGCTGTATTTTACTTAACGACAATAATTTGCAATCGCTATGAACCCAAATTTATTTTCATTTGCAAAAAATAATTTCAGTTACCGGCTGCTCACATTTCTACATGGACCTCGATTATGGAGAATTTCTGTTGATTTTAATGAGTGGAATCCTTGGTGTGATGGACAGTGAGACATTGTATAACATTATTGTTTGGAATTTCAAATAACGTTGAGTACAAAGTCTGCTGATACTCATATCTGAGGGGAAGCGTTTTTTTAAAATCACCTCTTGAACGCATCGGATTTTTAATATTGTATTCTACCCATGTGCAGTTTGAGTCCCCAGTCGTGAGTACGGCTCTACCAAGCACAAGCGATCTTCACCGCCCCCTCCATAAAAACAATACTTCAGCTTATACTCAAACAATTTACGTGAAATATGATATATGTGAAAGGGTTAAGGCTTTTTCAATCTCCTTCCTACGTTTTAAGTAACAACTTGTCTGCTTTTAGCCAAGTTGAACATGTTAATGCATGCATGGCATGGATTTAAACAAACGGTGGTTTACATTTTGTGTTTGTGGCTCTGATGTCTTTTGAAAAAGAGTCTAAATATTTTGAGAATGGAAATGACTAAAATGTTGTGATTATCGTATTTCAGCGATTCTATTTGTTAAATTATATTTCCACTATGCTAATTTATAAAGTTACATTTTTGCATTGATATTCGGTATCATAGAATAAACACATTTGGGTAACAATTATAAAAATGTGTTTGTCATTAAGCCCTCTTAATATCCATTTCTCAAAACATTTTACCCTTCTGGAATATAAATTGTATGTATCACCTACATTCTTAATTTGTGCACATTATACAACATCATTAATTGTCATCTGTCACAATGCGCATTGAGATTTCTAAAAAAAAAAGCATTGATGCTCGAGGCTTTTGCAAACTTTTTGCAAATTTCTACCCACGTTGCACGTTTTCACCAGCATGTGTATACAAAATCGGGTTGCCCATCAACATCGTCGCAGGGGTAGCTGTTGTTGTAGTCTGCCTGTGAATCAGTAAAGGTTGTTTATTCCTGAGAAAATAACGTGGAAGTGCTTTACAATTGGGAATATAAAAATGCACAAATAAAGAGCAAAAACTGAATGGAGATGCTCATTATGGTTATCAAAGCTGAACTGCAAGGATTTTGAAAGTTAATTGCTTAAACTATGCTTTTTCAATTGGTTTTGCTTTGCAATCAAAGATTTTTCATCCATTAGTAGTGATTTCGTGTAATTTCCAGACCATGCACATTGTTTTACGATGTTCGTGGTGGCGTTTGATCAGTCGTGTATGTATCTTATATATATACAGCTCTAATATTAATCCACGCTGGAGGCAAAGAGATAAGGAAGTAAATGTGCCTATTCATGATGACGCATTCGTGGCAGGGCATGTCAATGATAGAGCTTGGTATTGACAATTTTCATCACGGAGCGATCATATCATATAGCATCATGTTTTCATCGTTGCGTTGGGAAGTGATTGTGTTGATTGGAACGTGCGATAGTGCGCTGCGACGATGCAGTGCAAGTTTAGGATTTGGAGTGGGATTTGATAGTGGCGTGTGATTGGCTGATGATGCATGTGGCTTGTATGATTTGCGTCGGACGCGTGTGATAATGGAGTAACGCGACGATGCGTTGATGGGCCTTGCTGTCTGGGATGGCAGGTGGTGCTCGATACCCTGATGCTCACCTCCATCGCCCAGCTCTCCCAGCGTATACGCTCCGCTACCGACAAAACCACCTCCAAGATCCGGTGGGAAATTAAAACTTTGGGCTATTATATTGCCAGAGATTTAGCAACATAAGAGCAATAATTATGTTTTAGTCATATTTTTATTGTTAACTCCTATTTAGAATTACTTGTGAGAGTACAATACAAATCGTATGCATACCATGTGTATGAACATGAACCATCTGAAGGTATTTAGCTTTTTCATTCATATGTTTTCTAAAAACTAATGAAGGGATGTGTTTGAGTGAATATGAGTTTTAAAAGCCACAGTTTTGTTTTTTGGAATCAAGAATGGGTGAAAATGACTGCAAGGCTTTTTCCGATCAAACTCTATCACATAGATCAGTAAACACGGGTAATATAGGAAGCACAAAGGTCATACAGCTGTGGAAGGTCATGTAGTTGCCTGTGAAACCTACTCGTGCTTTGTTAATTGTTGATTGTGTCTCTCTTAGCTATCTGTTTAAAGACCAGGACCTTCCCTGGGAAGCGATCGAGTCCAAGCTCAGCTTCGATGGCGAAGTGCCCCTCCTGAGGACCACCAGCAGGGTAAGCACTGGGGCTGGTTCCCACTGGGGCTGGTTCCCACTGGGGCTGGTTCCCACTGGGGCTGGTTCCCACTGGGGCTGGTTCCCACTGGGGCTGGTTCCCACTGGGGCTGGTTCCCACTGGGGCTGGTTCTCACTGAGGTTGGTTCCCACTGGGGCTGGTTCCCACTGGGGCTGGTTCCCACTCGTGTTGGTTCCCACTGGGGCTGGTTCCCACTCGTGTTGGTTCCCACTGGAGCTGGTTCCCACTCGTGTTGGTTCGCACTAATGATGGTTCGTTCCCACTGGTGTTGGTTCCCACTGGCGTTGGTTCCCACTCGTATTGGTTCCCACTAATGCTGGTTTCCACTGGTCTTGGTCCCCACTGGTGCTCGTTCCCACTGGGGCTGGTTCCCACTGGGGCTGGTTCCCACTGGTGCTGGTTCCCATTGGGGTTGCGCGATGGAAGTGCTACCATACATCGTAGGGTGTAAGATGCACGACAATTGCATTGTTCTATTTAAAAAAATATTTAATTTTGATTATCATTCGTCAGATTTTTTTCTTAACTACTTAATTTCTTGCCAAAATATGTCTGAAAAAACAATGATTAAAGCAACCGGAGTACCCTGAGAAAACCCAATGGTGTGCGTTGGGTAACACTCCACCAACCTCCGTCCTGATGGAAATTAATTCCACTTCGTCATACTGTCATACCCTGGCAATCCCGGAGATGGCGACATTGATACCACGGGGAGGGAGTTTCAAGTCTGTGTGATCCAACAACCCTCGCCTCCAGTGCTGACTTACAGACATACAGTGAGGGAAAAAAGTATTTGATCCCCTGCTGATTTTGTACGTTTGCCCACCGACAAAGAAATGATCAGTCTATAATTTTAATGGTAGGTTTATTTGAACAGTGAGAGACAGAATAACAACAAAAAAATCCAGAAAAACGCATGTCAAAAATGTTATAAATTGATTTGCATTTTAATCAGGGAAATAAGTATTTGACCCCTCTGCAAAACATGGTGGCAAAACCCTTGTTGGCAATCACAGAGGTCAAACGTTTCTTGTAGTTGGCCACCAGGTTTGCACACATCTCAGGAGGGATTTTGTCCCACTCCTCTTTGCAGATCTTCTCCAAGTCATTAAGGTATCGAGGCTGACGTTTGGTAACTCGAACCTTCAGCTCCCTCCACAGATTTTCTATGGGATTAAAGTCTGGAGACTGGCTAGGCCACTCCAGGACCTTAATGTTCTTCTTCTTGAGCCACTCCTTTGTTGCCTTGGCCGTGTGTTTTGGGTTATTGTCATGCTGGAATACCCATCCACGACCCATTTTCAATGCCCTGGCTGAGGGAAGGAGGTTCTCACCCAAGATTTGACGGTACATGGCCCCGTCCATCGTCCCTTTGATGCGGTGAAGTTGTCCTGTCCCCTTAGCAGAAAAACACCCCCAAAGCATAATGTTTCCACCTCCATGTTTGACGGTGGGGATGGTGTTCTTGGGGTCATAGGCAGCATTCCTCCTCCTCAAAACACGGCGAGTTGAGTTGATGCCAAAGAGCTCCATTTTGGTCTCATCTGACCACAACACTTTCACCCAGTTGTCCTCTGAATCATTCAGATGTTCATTGGCAAACTTCAGACGGGCATGTATATGTGCTTTCTTGAGCAGGGGGACCTTGCGGGCGCTGCAGGATTTCAGTCCTTCACGGCGTAGTGTGTTACCAATTGTTTTCTTGGTGACTATGGTCCCAGCTGCCTTGAGATCATTGACAAGATCCTCCCGTGTAGTTTTGGGCTGATTCCTCACCGTTCTCATGATCATTGCAACTCCACGAGGTGAGATCTTGTATGGAGCCCCAAGTCGAGGGAGATTGACAGTTATTTTGTGTTTCCTCCATTTGCGAATAATCGCACCAACTGTTGTCACCTTCTCACCAAGCTACTTGGCAATGGTCTTGTAGCCCATTCCAGCCTTGTGTAGGTCTACAATCTTGTCCCTGACATCCTTGGAGAGCTCTTTGGTCTTGGCCATGGTGGAGAGTTTGGGATCTAATTGATTGATTGCTTCTGTGGACAGGTGTCTTTTGTACAGGTAACAAGCTGAGATTAGGAGCACTCCCTTTAAGAGTGCTCCTAATCTCAGCTCGTTACCTGTATAAAAGACACCTGGGAGCCATACATCTTTCTGATTGAGAGGGGGTCAAATACTTATTTCCCACATTAAAATGCAAATCAATTTATAACATTTTGACATGCGTTTTTATGGATTTTTGTTGTTGTTGTTCCGTCTCTCACTGTTCAAATAAACCTACCATTAAAATTATAGACTGATAATTTCTTTGTCAGTGGGCAAACGTACAAAATCAGCAGGGGATCAAATACTTTTTTCCCTCACTGTACACCACCACGCCCGACTAACCATATAGATGACTCTTGTTTATTTGGGCAATATTTGTTAACATCTGTCAGTGTTGACCTAAAGGTGGACAAGAGTAGGTTGGAGTGCTTTTGGAAAGCCAAGCAGTGTTTTTTTATTGTGATCTATATTAATACCGATTTAAAGCTTTCGTGACTGCAGGGATTCATATTCTTGTTTCTTTTGGGAAAGGCACGTAGAAGGGAAACAATAAAATAATAAAAATATAAAACAATCAAATTCTCACGACGTTTCAACTGCAACACAAGCAATCATCATTAGGTGTGAAAACCACACCAAGAAAATTTGAAAAAAGTGGCGTTTTTTTAACGTTAGCACCACGGAGAGCGATTTGGCAGTTATTCAGATGGACGAGTCCATCTATGTTATTATTTTATTGTTTCCCTTCTACGTGACTTTACCGAAAGAACCAAGAATATATATTAATACCGTTCTAATTTTGCCGTTCATACTTCATGCCCGTCTTATAAATGGTAATGCATTCGTTTGGAATACATTTCTCTCTCTTGATTGCATTGCAGGAGCTGACATCCATTCTACAGGACCTGAGAAAAGTTGAGAAACAGCTGCAAGGTAAGCAAATGGTGCCCAGTCTGTGCTCAGCCGATGCCTGGTCATGATGGCCTACCAAGAGGTGAATATGAAGGGAAAGCTTGCGACTTAAACTACACGAGAGATGTCAGGCATGTCAGGGACGACATATTGACAATGAATAACTAAGAAGAAAATGGGCTTGGGCAGGACACACTGGTAGACAGGAGATGGCCGAGGCTCGTGACGGAATGTCAGGAGAGGACTCGTCAAAGAGGGAAATCGCCTTGAAGATGGAGACATGAGATGAGTTCAAGTGCAGGAAGAGTGTGATGCATGTGAGCGGCACTGGACCGTGAGGGATGGGGACTGCATGGGAAGGCCTTTCTCCAGCAGCGGATTGATAATGGCCCGAGGATGATGACCTGAGGACACGTTTTTAGAGGGGTTTTCTTATCTGTGTGCGCATTTTTGTTCAAATGATATTTGGTACTGCCACAAGTGACCAGCATGAGGAGCCCTTAGCCCAGGCAGTGATTATACGCACTTCATCGCCTCATGCAGGAGCGCTTGCGTGGCGTTCAAAACCAAATCGCCGTTCGCCATGAAGGAGCAAGTTGTTAACGTGGCCGCTTATTTGCAATGCTTTTTTCGTAACGTTTGAGTTTCGTGGTAAAGCATGAAAATGGCCAGTGTGATTGTAACCACGTGCACGCACAATGAAGCATCGAACACGCACAATCACGCGCTGCATTTTAACTGAATTGTGACTGCAGATATGAGCGTTCTTTTGCATCTCGAAGGAGCGGGCTTGAATTTTTTGCAAGCCTGGTGGCTATGTTGGCTTGAGACCAATGGTAATGGGGCTTGAGACCAATGGTCATGGGGCTCTAAACCACCGTGTCCAAGTAAAGGCGTTATCGTTACATTTGTTAACTGTAGGCTTATTGTGAGGAGCGGTAGTGTAGCGGTTAGCGCACTGTGCCACAAATCCAGCAACCCGAGGTTGATTCCCGCTCACGACCAACACCAGTGACGGTCCTGGGCCTCCCCTAGGTCGACTCGGCCTCATTTGAGTACCTGGTGCGATGTGTGCCGTTCCAGCCTTCATCAGTGTTCGCTAACAGCACTTGCCCCAACAGTCTGAAGACTATATTTGGGGATCTTTATCTTTTTCCACGTGCTTGGAAGCCTCTCGAGGAGCAGCATTGAGCAGCTCTATTGTTAACACGAGCTGCCCAAGTCACGTGCTGAAGAAGCTCCCAGCACACAGAGCGAAACGTCGAACATCTTGCCTAAACACTGTGTGGTACAATGCAAAAACACATCGAGAGAGCTGTACAGCACAAGCCTTGACATACCGTTCGCATGGACCAGTGTAGGTCATCTGTAAATGCTATATACCGTGCACATTGCTGCGAGGTGACTCTTTAACATGGTATATTTAAGCTCGTTGAAAGTAAAAAAAATGTTGAGTTAATTTAAATGTCATGATTAATGACGGACAGATATATCAAAGGAGGTCCAAGACAAGATCCATTGTCGTGTAGCATAACCAAAACACCTTTTAGCAAATGCAGTATTTAACGAATGAACAAGCTTTAGATTATTCGCCTGTATACCATTTTACCAAATACTTTATCTTGTAAGGGGTTGTCAGGCACTCACACTTGGTCGCTCATGTGTCCAGGGGATATTGTAGAAGGGTGCATCTTTATATAGCACAGTTATGCACACTTACCAGCCAATGTGTAACTTACACTGCATGGAAGGCATGTCGGGGGGCATCGTCAACTGTGGTTGGTGGTCTCGCTGACTCCACTGTGAGAACCACGAAATTCCTGTGAGGGATCCAGAGGATGACTATAACCTGAGCCAGACACGAGTTAAAAATCCTATTTCACAGTGCACGCACAATGATCTTGATCACCCCGTGCGTGCATGCAGTGCACGCCGTGTTAAGGAGGTGCACGGAGCTTGCGTTTACATCCTCGTATTCCATGCGCAAAGAGCTGCTCCGAACTCATGGTCTCTCTGAATAAATATTCTTCAATTGTAAAGATATAAAACAGAAGAATACGGCAGTTCGGACATGGAATAAGCTGAACAGGATCCCATGGTCGGCAATGTGACAATATCGGAATGAAATAAGAGTCGAGGGAGACAGAAAGGCAGGTGAACAGATGCAGTGGTGAGACATTAGCAGAAGAGCCTCCACTGGAGGGGGAGCGCTAGAGAGCCTCTCTAGAAGGTGGTTTGGCCTACTTGCCATGTTGTCCAAACGCCTTGGAAGAGGTGGGAGTTACCCACACTTTACCCCACCGCACACAACCTGCTGATAGACTAACTGTGGTCTACCCATTAATATTGCCGCACGAACAGAGGCCTGTGGGGGGGGGGGGATTTGAGAAACTTGCACCAGCGTTTCCACGGCCACGTTGAGAATTCTAGCCAGCAAACGGGCGACCTCTAGAGATTGCAGGCCCCGTGTGCTAACCATTACACCATGGTGGCATTCGCGAGAAACGAGTACAGCATAACAAGAGTACCAAACAAGATTGGTCAAAAATTATGTACAATGTAAAGTATGTAAAACTGGACTGTAATTTAATAACGTAGGAATATTGATATAACGTGTCCATTTCAAATGCCAATATCTCTTGCGGGGAAGCCAACTGCGGTATTTAAAGTATGGCTTTCCGTTGTATCCCAATAAATATTAATTTGTCAAAAAAGGCATTACTGGAGAATTTAATTGTAACCTCATATTTTCCAAACCCAAGAATAGGAAACCTTGTTAATAAATATAGAATTTCTCGATCGTATAAGCAAGCGCGTGGTGTGTTGCTTGTATTTTTAAAATGTTGTCATGGGGATGTGGAGGCACAATACAGCGTGTGGGTCTGGAGAGGGCTAATACTACTCCGTAATGAAATATAAACGCCAGTGCTGGGGCCAGCACCTCGCATGCTCTGGACCCAACTTGGACCGACCAAACACAGAGCCCCCATCGGTCGATAGAAATTGTGGCCCGATTCAACTTTCCATTCTTCCTCACCCCCCCCCCCCCCCACTGTCCAGATAGTTTGTATTTCTTGTGGACTACTACTACCTTATTGGGTGAACGTCCACCTTTGCTGGTCAGGAGTCAAGACAAGGTCACAGAGAGTGGCTATTCATTAAATTATAAAGGGGTAGAAAGGGTAAAGGTGCAGTCCTGCAATTGCTTGCTCATGCCACTGTTGGCAGAAATGAACTCCACTATACGGAGCTCTGGCTATCAATCAAATATCGAATTTATTATAAGGCCCTGCTACAAGGCTGTCAATGGGTTTAGCCGCACAATACTTACAGGAACTCGTACACTTATTTACACCACCAATGAGGTCCTTGACATCTTCTAATCTCCGTTTTAGTATTTCGAGGTCAAGGCTCCGTTCCTGGGGTGATTGGGCTTTTGCCGGTGCAGCTTCAAGACTATGGAACGCGTTGGCCTCTGACAATAAGACAATCCGGATATTTAGAGCTATTTGAATCTGCCCTGAAAACTCACCTCTTTAAAATGGCCCGTTTCCCTGTAGTTTTGGTCGTTTACACTCCTGGCTCTGTCTTATTTCCCTGCTTTCCATACGCAGAACATTGGGATCCTTGGAAGAAATGCGCCTTACAAATGTAAATTATTATTATAAATACATCTAGAGAGCCCCTCTTGAGGATATTTTGTCCTACCCTGGCACGCTGGCTCGACATCATGGAAGAGGTAGGAGTACCCACACTTTACCCCATCCCAGGTGACTTGGCAAACACCTAACGGAGGTGGTACCCATTTATACTGCTGGGTGAACAGAGGCGGCAGTGGTGGTGGGTAGGTGGGGCTCTTTGAGATACTTGCACCGTTGTTTTAGTGGCTTTGCCGGGAGGATTTCGAGTCCAGTCTGCTAACCATTGCGCCACAAAAGTCTAATGTAGCACCGTTCACAGTACGTTTCCCCAAGGAGCTTTACAATCTTAATATTGTAAAAATAACTACAGGCATTGATCAAAGTAAACAAAAATATATATGCCAAAAATGTACTGTAAAACAAAAAGTTATTTGCGAAATAGGTAAATCACTTGTATTAAAACATAAAAATTAATTAACAAAATGTTTGTAATATTTTTTTAATGCTGTATATTTTCGAGCTCTGGTGGCGCACTGATGTACATCATGTAAACGGTGACCAGAGCAGTGACTAAATAGGACTGTATCGGCTCCTGATTGGTGATCTCTTAAAACGTACCTATAGTTCTTGTGTAAGAACTTTGTAAAAAAAAACTCTGCTATTGTTGAAAGTAGCCAGGATGGCCCAGGGTTAATATCAAACACCCCAATGTAAAGCGTTGGTGGAAAATGAGGCGCCGAATCGTCATTTTACCTGGTGTTTGCGCCATTCATGCAGCACATGGTTGTCGCCTCCAATTAGCACAGTTGGCTACGTTAGTTAGCAACGTACGGTGCGAAGGAAGTTCAACATTCATACATACATCATGAAGGTGCTATGTGACACGTACAATTATTGTCTGCATAAGAAGTTTTTTTTCGGGTTAGATTGCGTAAATATATAAATGTGTCGTTAATACCCGCCACCACCCGACAAAGCCAACTAGTAAGGGTTGTCACGTAAACAGAACGTGCCAATTCGTCACTAGTACAGCACTAACCGGTGTGTTGGAGAGCCAAGTCACAACAATTACAATCTGAGTACGATGTTTCACAGAATTATAATCTGCATTAGTTTCACAACAGGGTGCCGATGTTGCTATGTCCCATTGAGGTCATTTTAAAATTTGGACCATGATGCCGGCTCGTGTAAAAATACGGCAGGACCAATACCTCTGTCGTTGCCGATCATTGTTTTAACGCTGTGGGCTCACGAAATTGATTTTTCCAAGACGGAGGTACTCTGCAAACCTACCGGCTATCTTCAGAGATTTGTTCATGAAGCCATCCAGATATATAAACACAGACACAACTTCAACCGAGAGGATGGGTACAAACTGTG